TTAAGCTCTGCTATAACGTTGAGCTCAGAACCATTGTTTATATGAGCTGCTAAACATAGGCTTGGAACACAGGGTCTCAATATAGGCTACCACTGTGCACCCTTCCTTCTGTTCCCCTCCTCATCAATAATGAGGACCTCTGCACCCAGCATGTTTCCAAGGCTCTGAAATGCCGCAAATCAAGGTTAGAGACACTCTGGTCCCCAAAATTTAATGAGGACCCCAGACTGGATTGAACCTCTTTCAGTCATTTAGTTGTTTCCTGGTAGGAGTAAAAGAGGTTCAAGTATTTTGGTCAAGGATGATGATCTGATCCAGTGACTCCTCATCCTCCATCCCCAGTACAAGACAATCTTTCTCTCTGTGGTATAGAATTGGAACAATGAGATTGGGCTCCAAATTTCAGCTCTATCATCTACAGACCAAACATGTGATCAGTGTCAGCCACTAAGCATCACTGAGTCCCTCAGTTTTGTTTTGCTTTAATCTTTGAAAAAGTGTAACAGAAGGACATATGTAGTTGTTGTTGTTACACGCTATCAAGTCACCTGCGACTCATAGCAGCCCTATGTACAACAGCCCTAAACCCTGCTCTATCCTGTGTAAATCTTACTGTCTTTGTTACACCTACTCTCCTTACCCCAGCCACTGAATCAATCCATCTCATCGAGGGCCTTCCTCTCCTGCACTGTTCCTCCACTCTGCCAAGCATGATGTCCCTCTCCAAGGACTGGTCCCTCCTTGCAACATGTCCAAAGTATGTCAGACAAAGCTTCAGATAAAAGTAGATTTATATGAGGATCATACAAAATTATGCATATTGTTGTTTACCATAGAATCTGAACTGACTCATAGCTGACCCTCCAATGGGTTTTCAGAGGCAGATAATCGCACAGCAGGTGATTACCCATTCTTCCATAGAGCATTTGGTGGCCTTGAACTACATGCATTCAGGATTACAGCTTCTTGCCACTAGGCCACCAGTGTGTGTGTGTGTGTGTGTGTGCATGCATGTGTACATATATGTATATATATGTATGTGTATATGTATATATTATATATATAATGTACACACACATATATGTATATTGTTGCTGTTGTTATGTGCTGTCAAGTTGCCTGCGACCCATAATGACCCCTATGTACAGCAGCTCTAAACCCTGCCCTGTTGTAAGCCAGTTTCACTAATCCAGACACACTGATCCCCATTGCCCTAGTTACTGTATCATTCCATCTTATCCGGGATCATCCTCTCCCTCACTCCCTCCACCCTTCTAAACATGATGTCCTTCTCCAAAGATTGGTTTCTCCAAGCCATGTGCCCAAAGTATATGAGACAGAGTTTCAAAATCCTAGCCTCCAAGGAGAATCTTGGTTTCACCCTCTCCAAGACAGACCTATTTGTTTTCTTGGCAGTTCATGGTAAGTTCACAACTCTTCTCCAGCACATTTCAAAGGCATAAATTCTTCTTCTGTCATCCTTAGTCATTGTCCAGCTCTCTCTGATACATAAACAGAAATTGAGAAGACCATGGCAGAGAGAGAGAGAGAGAAAGAGAATGAGAGAGAGAGAGAGAGAGAGAGAGAGAAACTCTGGTTGCCTAGTGGAAAGAAGCTGTGCTGCAATCCCGAAAGCATGTAGTGTTTAATACATTGCATGACTATCATTGTTATCATCACTGGCATCATGGGTGGATAAAGGTTTGGGGATCTCCTAGAGGACCTTTTATGTTGGGAGACACTGCCCACGTGTCAGCCCTTGACAGAAAAGTCTTGCATATTCTTTAGGGAACATTTCAGGACAGAGCATGGTACCAGGCTGAGCAAATATAACCAACTATGATAATGAAAGTTTGGAGACTGAGACAGAAGGAGATCCTATGGGTCAGCAGGGCTGAAACTAACTCTGTGGAGAAGATGCAAGCCAAACCTTCATTCTTCCATATCTTCTTCTTTCATTTCTTGAAGCTAGTCCAAATTACCCACTTTCACAATTATGGCCGGTATAATATAAACAAAGAGGTAACTCAGCGGACACTTCTTCACACACCAAGAGCTTCTGGAGAGGCTAAAGAAGAAGTTAGACTGTCCTAGGATGCCTGGTCTTGAAATGCTAGACGCTAATCCAAAGATAGAACCCTGGGAGGAAGAATTGATTTGAACGGACAACCACATGATATATGGTCCAGGCGCCATAGGGTACCAGCCTTTCTGGTGAGGTTGAGGGAAATGAAGAGCCCAGCTCAGAGACATACTCTACAATAAAGATACTTGGTCAAAATATTCACTCCTCCTGAAACTTCAGAGAATGCAAGAACGTTTCCTGTGATATTTTAAGATATTGGTTTTCTAGTAGGCTTAAAGAAGAGGTTTTAAGAAGGAAAGACCAAGCTTTTGAGTGCTAGGAGCACTGTGATATACCTATTTTGAAGTGCACTTGTAGCTTGCAAACCAAATGAGATTCTGACTACCAACAGATGGCATTTACTTCTCCAAAACAAGGCACTGTCAAGTTGGCCTGAAAGTAAGAAACGCAGGGGGGTGGAGAAGGAACACCTTCAAAAGTTTGGGTATAAATGATAGTATATTTACAACGGACAGAGACTTGTTTGTGAAGATGCTTTTTTGTTTTTTTATAGAACTCTTTAAAAATCCTTTTCTCTGTAAAGGAAAAAAAAAACCAACAAGCAACCTGAACTCTTAAGCAAAGTTTCAAACAATTTCTCTCTCTGGAAGAAAAAAAAAAGATCTGTTTTTTAGGCCTTCTTAAATCCCTTCCAGACCGAGGGGGTGTGTGGGGGCCAGTACAGGATCACACACTGTCAGTTGAATGTGTGCTAGGAAGGTTCCTAAACCCTTTCATTTTTTTTTCATAAGAAAAGCAAGAACCTGAGAAATGAGGAGCTGATTTGCCTACAGCTAATTAAAGTAAAACAAACTGTATGGAATCTAAGTGGAACAAACATTTTCCATGTGTTCTGCTAACCAAATGGTGGATAGTTCGAGTCCATCTGGGGGCTCCTCAAAACAACAGACTGAGTGGAGTATACTTGGGGTGAGAGTGGGGATGTGCGGGGTGTGGGGGGGATTGTGTACCACCAATGAAGGCGTTTTTCTTTTGCTTTTCAATGAGAGGATCGAACTGGGGGTGGGGGTGGGGGTGAGTGGGTGGGGAGAAAAGGGCAACAATGAATGAATGGAGTTCCAAAAAAACCCAAAAACAACAGACTGACAACCAAGCAGCCATTGAAAATGCCTATGGAGTACAGTTTTACTGTGACACACCTGGGTTTGTTGAGAATATGAATCAACGACAAATGGCTTAGTTTCCTCGACTCTGTATGCTTACAGTAATGTCTACCTTGTGGGCAATTCATGTGCACTTAAAAAAAAAAGCCCCTTTAGCCATTGAGTTAGTTCATACTCTTAAGCGACCTTCCTTCGATTTTCCAAGGTTGTAAATTTTCATGTGCCTTTTACTTGTTCTGTAAATTTGACCTCCTTTTGAAATGATTGAATTAAATGAATCCCTCCCTACCCACGACATAATCCTTCATCACAACTAGTTGCAGATGCAGCTTTTAATCATTGTAAGGGCTCCCAGCCATTTCTTACATAAAGTAAGGCTAAATGAGAACCATACGGACATGTTCCAACTTCCTTACAGATTCGACTTTGCAGTCACACTTAGGAACAGGTCTCGTTCATAACCTAAAGAATGGAAGGGCTATGTGTGTCTCATGACTTCATCTCTATGGCATGTTTCTGGAGAGCAGCGACGACATTCTATACTTCTTTACATCCTCTCCAAAATGTTTCTCTTCACTTGGAATCTACCCCCTGGTAACTTCTGTTGTGTTTTTTCTGTGTTTGTCTGATGTTTTTATAAGGTGCCATCAGAAGTGATTAAGTTTAAGACCCACCTGTCTTTGTGTTGACTCATTAGCATAAAGGAAAAAAAAGAAAACCCCTATTTCCAAACAGGATCGCATTCACAGGTCCAGAGCTCAGGGTTTCCATATAACATCTTAGCAGACCCAGTTCCATCCATAGCAGGGACTTAAGCAGTAATCGTGTGTTCAACTCAGTATCTGCAGGCCAGCTGGAGTTTGACTGGCATGGTTGACTTTGGGTTCAAGCTGTAGACCGGGTCTACTGCACGTCTTTCTCTTCCTCTTTGGGTCAATGGTAGCATAGTTAGATTGTTGTTTATTGTGATTTTTAAAAAATATTATATTTTCCTATTGTGATTTTAAGGAACGTTTACAGAAATGTAGTGTTTTTTTATTTCTTCATTGTTGCACATTGTGCTGGAACAGATTGTGTTGGGAAGAACTGTCTGAAAGGAGTTTATGATTAGACAGTAAATGTATGACAACAATCTGGAACAAGAAAGGCATTGCACAGTGGACGGGGGAGGCAGAAAGGAATGGGAGAGAGGAAAAGGGCAGATTTTTGTAATGGTGATGGCAGAAGCACAATTTGAGGCTCTGTGAGGTTCATGTCATTCCATCACTTAAAGCAAGTCATTGGTCTGAGCACAAAGTCAAGGGGTGGAAGAATTTCTACTAGGCAACCCTAGGAAGTGTGTGGATATATATTTATATCCACTGCATGTTAATGGAAAATTCTGACGAATCAATCAGCTTATATAAATGTTTCATTGATATTAACTATTATTATGAATTGTTATGGAGCCTTTTTTTGGTACTCATATAGTCTTACATGAATAGAAATCATACCCTATCCCTATACCCTATACTCGACATAGGGAGTTCTCGTGGCCTAGTTGTAAGGAGTTGCGCTGCTGATTCAAAGACACATGGTTTGAATCCACCAGCTGTTCCCCAGGAGGATGGCTAATCTCCTCCCACGCGATTTACTGCCCCTCAAAACCCGCTGGGGTGTCGGCTATGAATCATTTCCCTCTCCAAGGTACATAACAAAAATCCCTTACAAAGCATAACTGTCCTTTTTTCTTGCTTCTTCTCCTCCCTCAGATCTACTTTGCACCAAGGACAAGCTGTCAGCCAGCTTCTGCCAGACCCTGAAAGCCATGAAGAAATGCTCTGAGCCCACTGTCAGGACTCAGTGCTGCCTCACGTGTCCGCAAACCCGCATTGTTCACCCGCAGAGGCCAAGAAAGCGTCTGCCTCTCCGAAGCCCCCAGTCACTCTAAGTTCAGAGGGAAGCCACCGTCCACCATCGCCCGCAGCAGCTGCTGACCACATGTGCTAGCTCCAGAGGCCCCTTCATTGAGGTTTCACTTTACGTACTTCAGGTCCAAGCTTGGGACATTGAAAAGCAGACTCCATTGTGTTCCATTATCCTCAGAATTCCCTGTGGGAGGAATAGATGGGACCGTATCATTGCTGAGCCCCAATGTGGAGATGAAATAGCGAGGAAAACCAAGGTGTCTCCAGAGATGAGAGTTCCTGAGAAAGGTGCTAGAAAAACAGGACTGTGAAGTGATGTCTCCTATATGAGAAAAACAAAGAGACCAGATTTCCCCCAGACTACCTCAAGAGTATCAGGAAACAAACACAGTTATCCAGGGAATAGTCAGTCTTCTTCATTTACCTTATTAAAAATCAGCCTTTCCCCCACCCTTTTGTTGGCATACTCGCTGTTTGAAAATACAATGAGGGAATTTTTAGGGACATTTGTTTTAGTTTAACCAGGCTAGGACTGGAAGGCAAAGTGCTGTTTGTATCTCCTAAGTTCAATACCTGTAGGAACTTGGGCTTGGACTTTTGGTATAGTGTACTAGGACCAATAGGTCAGCAGTTCAATGCCACTGCCTGAGGAAGAAAGATAAAAGAGTCTGCTCCTGTTCAGATTTATTGCTTTAAAACCCAATCGATGGTCACCAGGATGGCATGTCACTACAGCAACATCCTTGGAATCTGCTTGGTGGCAGGTTGGTGCTGCCTTGAGATATGAGAATAACAAGAAATAGCTTCAATTATAGCCTTATAGCCTGAGGAAATGAAGTCCACTCATTCACTGCTGTCCTGTCAGAACAGACTCATAGCTGACCCTCCAGTGGGTTTTCAGAGGCTGTAAATTGTGTGAGAAGGGGATTACCCTTCATTCTCCCTTGGAGCAGCTGGTTGATTTGAACTGCTCACCCTTGGATTGCCAGTGCCACTGCCACCAGAGATTCCAAAGGCTTTAAAATGACTAAACCACATTGTTGTTACTAAACAACATTCCTGCCTTGAGAACAATTCTTAAATTATTGATTGAAATGAATGAAAATGTTTTCCATTTCAATGCATTTGAAATGCTAAACATTAATTAAATTTATGTAAATGAAATGACATTTTAACAATTTAATAATGTAAGCAATTTTTAATTAAATAAACAGATAAAAATTTCCTGCTAGGAAAAGGGAGTGTGAGGCCTTACTCCTCAAAAACAAAAACAAAAATCAAAGCAAAACCCCCTCAAACGCATTGCTGTCAAGTCAGAACCGATTCACAGTTGCCCTTCTATCAAGTTTCAAAGCTATAAATCACCGGGGGAGAGTGTCCATCTTTCTCCCAAGGAGCTGGTGGATCGAGGCGTGGCCTTCGGGTTAGCCGCACAGCTTCCCTACAGACTGGCTTAAATGCTCCTTTTCCCAGAGGAACAGACAAGTTTTCCTCTCTTTTTCCTTCTTGACAATTCCCTTCCTGACCCCTTAACTCCAGTCTGATCCCTTGGAGAGAGAGGGTGGGTGAGTAGAAAGGTCTAATCTCAGAGAACAAAGCCCTGGGGATCAACCATGGACCGAAGAGAAGGCAGGGGATGACCTTCACTTAACAGGTGACATGAATCCCATCTATCCGTCCCATCTAAAGGTACACTTCATATCCATCATGGAGCATGCTGTCCCATGCTGCCCTTTCGTTATCAATCCGTTCAGCAGAATGGTGCTATTGACAAATGGTGCTAATATCTAGATGGTGGCAGAACTAATACAAACATATATAGATATATTCACGGGTTTGTATAGCTGAGATTCTACATGTACATCCAGTGTTAAATGTGTAATGGTGTTGCTGGCCAACGCCAATTCTATTGCTTGGACACCATGAGCTTAACTTTTCATGACCAGATTATTTTCTCCTTTGAAGATTTTATTATAGCATATGTTTTTGGTCTTAGAAGACATGATGAAATTAAAGAAAAAAAAACTAAGGTAGTATGGGTTTTGGTACATGTATATGGGACCCATAGGTCCCCAGAGGACTCTGGTAATAGCATTGGTGGGATTAGGCCTATTCGTTTACATTCATACAGTTATAACGGTTCCCACTAGGCAATGGTAGCTTATACTGTAACTAGGATAGCCACTTCCTAAGAAACCTGATAGGATCAAAATATTGGTGGACAATATACATCCCACGGATCATGAAAGGGTTCTGTTTTAGATTATTTTATTAATTTTTTCCAAGCCATTAATGTGTATTTCTCTGATAAGTTCTTGTGGAAAATGAAACACTGGGGTTAGGATGAACCATAAAAACAGGAGGAAAGTAGATATATTTACCCTTTTAAAGCCAGAGGATTACTTTCTAGAAAAGGAATTCATTCTTGTGTTCCCTGTCTTTAAGTGCAGACACTGCTGGCCACTGACAGGCCCTAGCAAAATGATTTTAGGGAGGTGAGGATGTTTAAATTGTTAATTACATCAATAGAGAAGGATCTGATTTTTTTTTTCCCTAATTAAATAATCTTCAAAGACTGAAGTGTGGGCTTTTAGGGAGGTTAATTTTGGTAAATTTGATTGCTTTGTTTTAACCCAGTACTGTATTATTATGAAGGGTCAAGGATATGTTATCAGAGACCTGCATCCAAGTTTCTAAATCTCAGGAACAAACCCAGGTTCCTAGTGACCTCAACAAAATCAAGCAGGCCAGATTCCCTATAGATATAGTGGGTCATAGTATATGTGAGCCACGTGAGGACGTTCCGGGAGGATCTGGCCAGATGCTTCATTCTAGACCTGCCTCCAATTCCTCAAAGGTAGAAAGTTGGCCTTTTATCACCTTTTGTGTATAAGCACTTCCCACAGTAAGACTCGGCTCTGAGACAGTTCTGTGGTATCCATCAGTCTGTCCCCAGGACAAAGTCAGTCTTTACTGTAGTTGTCTGACCACCTGGACTTTGCCTTGAGAACCACTAAGCTATGGGTCATCAAATTTTTATAGATCCTGGTCCTCGCAACCTGAACGGGGCCTCAGAGGAGTAGGGAGACTCTGAGGACAAGAACGTAATGTGGCTTTGCTGTCTCTCTGATGCTTTCAGGAACCGATGTGGGAAAGAATTGTTAATTTCATTCATCCAAGTTCCTCTCCCTTCCCACTTGGAATAGGAAAATAAAATGTGTAATTAGAGACACTGAATAAACACCCACAGTAAGCCATAGAGAACTGTCTTACCTGGTGCTTAACTGCATTCAAGTTCTAAAACTCCCTTAGATGTTCCTGGCCCTTCATAGGAGCAGACTTAGCTCTTCTCTGATGAATTGTGACTTAATTTAATTCATGAACATCAAACGTAATTAAGTACACTCTGAGAGCACAGTATTTCAACAAACTTAATAGTAAATACTTTCTTAAGAGAGGAATTAATTTTTCCAATACAAAAGATTACCTCTTTTTGTAGCAATGACTCATTTTATGGTTTTTTCCTAAATAAGAGACTACTTTCCTGAGCTATCCAAATCTCCCAACTGTAGTATTTGTGGTGTGCTTTTTAGATATTCAACAGGTGCTCTCTTAGCCTTCATTAAAGGTCTGTCTAATCAAGTACCTTCATTAAGTCTCCATCAACAACTTGATTCTGTTGTATCAGAAAGTATTTTCCTTCTCGATAGATTAACGTCCTCCAGACGTGAAATCTGCCCCATCGCTGTCCCAGAGATCGAAGGTCTTAGGTCTTCTCCCTGCACCCGTTGGTGAAGCCTTGAGACAGTTTGCCTGGTGACCAGCACACAACTCATTTTCGGGGCAGAGACTATGCAACAACCGCCTGGTGCCACACCCTAGCCAGCCTAGTCTAGGCTACTCTTATTGTTTGCATTGGTTTTTTTTAAAAAATTAATTTTAACGAATGTTTACAGAGACTTTGGATTGCCATTCATTCATTGTTGGATTTTTTCTCCCTGCCCACCTCTCCCACGCCCCAGTTTGCTCTTTTCTTTGAAAAATAAAAGAAAAATTATTTCATTGGTATACAATCCCTTACCCCCACCCATGAGTCCACTCCACTATGCAGCCTTCATTCTGGACTCTTGTCATGACCATAATACCCCATCATATATCGCTTTTAAACAGTTCTCACCCTCATCTCTTTCTATGAAGTGTGCATAATTTATCCAATCTTTCTCACGGGAAACTCCCAGATTGTAAATGAGTTCCATTCCAAAACCTGTCTTTAAATCAGATTTGTACCTAAATCAGAACAGTTAATAGTTTGTAACTAAGTCAAAACATCTTTAACACAGTGATCACAATGTTTTGATGGCCATCACAAAGTAGTGCCCATTTGTTATGAGCCATTAAATGTACTATGAATTTCTAATCTGATAGGCTTTTACAGAAGTTGATTCATAATTATGGGTTGTACATAAGCCTAATAACCTGAGGACTACCTGTATTAGTACTTTAAGTTATGTCATTAAAAAATGATGATAGGCTGAGAAAACACAATTCTGTCTCATTGTCCTCCATCATGGTTGCATGACACCATGACTTCATGTTCTCCCTGGGTTTGCTGCTTGGCCAGCTTTCCTTACCCAGCCTCCTCAGGGAGGTCCCTCATTATATATACCCCAGTGTTTAAAACCAATCTGTAACCATAGCCTGCCTCTGTGTGGCATCAATAAATGGTCAAACTCACTGATGTTTCATGGGATTCATTTACCCCTGCTGTAAGAGTCCCACCTGCCCACAATGCCATCCAGGAGTTTAGCAGCCAGGAGAAAGATGCAGTCAGCTTTTCTTCCTACAATTCTTCCAAATCCCCTCCTCCTCCACCCCCAGATCTATATGCCGCCCCCCCCAGTGAGTCACACCCAGGTGAAGTAGAACTTGGAGTTTATGAATAATTGTGATTGACTCACATAATGTATTACATGATCATCTGAACTGATGTTTCAGATTTCCTCCAACACTGACTCCAAAACAG